TCTCAAGGATTAAGCATTTCGCATGACTTAGCTTTCATATTTATAAATCATTTATTGATTCCTATTTGCAATCTCTTGAATAGCGCTGGTCATACAGTAAAGGAATTATTGTTACTAGTAGTTAATACCTTCAAATCAAGGCTTCTTGTAATGTAACTACTTATGGATTTAAAGGCAGTGTATTAAATAAAATTTCTCGCATTTTTTTTTCAAATTTACTGTCTCTTTGACACTCGATAGGTAGTTCCCTTAGTTTGGTGATAGAGAAGTTCTTTAACTCGCGGCTATTCCCTGGTCCTCTTCACCTTCGCCGCTTTCAAGCGGATCCTAGTTTATAGTTGATTTCGAAAGACTAATTGAATGATCCGATAACGAGAAGGCCTTGGCGTTATACTGTTCGCATTTTAGGAATATATAGTTCTTTAAAAATTAAATTAAAAAATATTCATATACTTTTCTTTTTAAATTAAAAAAACTAATAAATAAAAGAATTTTAAATTGAAAAAAGGAAAAAGAAAATTAATGAAAATAATGCAAAAATATATGAAGATATTTTTAAAAATAAATAAAAATATTTTTCAAAATATAGTATATGTATATTTTTTTTTTAAGTAAAATCCAAAAAATTGAAGAAAATTAAATTAGAAAAAGAAAACAATTAAATCAAAATATAAGAAAATAATAGATACCACAAAATCAAATATATATATTTTTAAAACAAAATATAAAAATTAAAAGAAAATTTACTTAAAAAAACACAACAAAAAATAACATCCTAAAAATTAAATTAAATAAAAAATATACTTTTCTTTTTAAAACTATAAAATCTAAAACCCAAAGGAAAATTATTTTTAAAAAAACAAAAATGAAAAATGGTTTTTACATGACAAAAAAATGTATGAAATACGATTTTATAAATTTAGTAAAATTATAAAAAATATTGTTTTTTTTTAATAAAATATAATCTAAACAAAAGAAAATAATAAATAAATAGAAATATAAAATAATATTTTTTTCTCTTTACAATTAAATCTAATAATTCAAGAATAGTATATAAAAGAAAATTAAATTAATATAGAAAAAAGGAAATAAAGCAAATAAAAATAATTTTAAAAATAAATAAATATATTTTTAAGAATATATGTATATTTTTTTGGTGGCAGAAAATAAGAGAAAGGCACACAACGGTCGATTAGGACAGAGTCCTGCCTGTCTCAACACGCGTACCATTGTCTCTTGTTAAAGTGACCGGTATCCAACTTCAAATAATACAATATGTTCAACATCTGCAGGGTCTATTTAGGATATGTATGTGGTTATTTTGCCTTTGTTAATTGCTAAGCCTTTTAGCAAAGACTCAGGAAGATCTTGAAAATTTTCGACTTTTGCGTTTTTTTTAATCGTTTCAGAAGTTCATATATGCATTGAGTAGGCGTATGAAATAATGGGAAATTACGTAACTTTCCTACAGCAAATACATTGCATACTTCTAAGCGCACTGCTTATATCGGAGACTGTACCGAGTATACACTTTACAAATCTTTTGTAAAGAATAAAATTTTAGCTCTTCTGGCAAGAGGTAACAAACTCGTTCTTTTTAATTTTTCTAGGACGAATAAAAAATGCATAAAAAGCCAAGTCAAGATTAAAATATCCCAAAGATCCCGAAAATCACCGAATAATTAAAGACAATTCCCGGAAATACCTGAAAAAAGCTTTACAAGTTCTAAAAAACTACCGAAAGTAATCTAAAAACTCATGAATCATTTAATTATTTTATCAGTTTCTAATAATTAATAGGAAAAATTATCCGTCATTTTGTGTTCAGACCATATCACACAAATTTTCCTTTCATTCGACCAAAAATATATTCCTTGCAAAATATCAATGTTTCTTTTCAACATTGTATATATGTATACAGCATGACTTTGCTTACATATGCGAGTACGTATGTTTAAGTATGTTTTATATACATATATACTCATCCCCCAACTGCGCTTCCACCGCAGCCACATAAGCTTTTTCAAGCAATCAAACTTTCAACCAACCAGAATCATAAAGCATTCATCTTAATGGCAGTGCCAGAACAAAACTGAAACAAAGAAGACAAAAAAAAGATAAAATGCTTACTATAGACAAATACATAAAAACTTGCACCACATTCACAATAGCGAGCAGCGAGCAACAGCAGCAGCATACAGATTAGGAATAATCTTCTTCTCGTTTTTGACATTGGCATTCGCTGTGGGGCACCATAGAGCAACCAATATGCAGCTTTGAAAGAATACCAGGGTGAGCTGAAGAGGTGTGCGGTTTTTTAGAGCGCGGACTACGCGAACAAAATTCAATAATCGATTGATGAAATTCGAAAATCAACAAAAGTAGAAATACAGAAAATAGAGACCGGGAAAATTTGGCTACGCTGGAATGCATTGCAATTTTGCTTCTAAAATTTTTGTTATCATTGTTTCATGTTCATATGCAGCTATGATGTGTGGATCGGTGCAACGAATATTTTCTGTGGGTTACAGTACGTGTGTGTGTGTGCGTGTTTGATGTTGGATTGTCTTCCGAAAGAAAAAATATCACAAATAAGCTTTTTTCCCCATTTGCGTCTGCTCGAGTGAGGTGGTGTAGAATATGTATATGTTTCGGTTGTTGCTACTTTTCCACTTCAGCTTCGGCGATTTTTTTTT